TATGCCCATCTTAGCTCATTTCTGACACACCAGTCCTCTAACCCCAGAAACACATGCACAGTTTACAATGAATTGTTTATTCAGTCACACTATAAAATATCACTTCGTTTAAAAATTCTATAGGCAATAAATGGCAGCTCAGAATATACAGGAAAATTGCGTTATGGTAGAGAGATAATCTTACAGTTAGAAAAAGATTTAATGTTAAATTATATCCCTAAGTAAAATGTTTCTTTAGTTGTGGATTGCATGGACAAAGGCTTTAAAAGGGGGCCTAACCTAACTGCAGGTTTCCAGCATCCGCTACATACAGTACACAGTTGTGTTCCGTCAGCATTACAGGGACTTCCAGCCTGCTGCTGGAACAAAATTGAGCCTGGGTACTCAACCATTCACGGGAAGCCTTGTATTTTATCAATGAATATAAGGCTTCACCTGATTTGCTGAGGTCAGAGAAAGTGAGATCATTCACCTGCCTCTCTACCTGGAGTTTAGCTTTAAAGTGTTACTAAACCCCGGACCCTGCATTCACTATATCTGGTCTCCCACAGTACACACAACATGGAAATGCAAATATTTTAGTAAATATAAACTGCTAAATACCTTTTCTCATCAGCAATTAGAGCTGTCTTGTGACTTCTATCAGTGTTTGGCCAAGCCCGGGTTAGCTTGTAGGGAGGAGTTTTCATTCTCCTCTGACTGTCCAATGAGGCTGCATGACCCCTGACCCTTTGTCTGGACAGTGCTGATTGGCCCTGTGTTGCTCACATGCACCATCCCAAAAACAAAACAAAAATACCTCTAGCAATACACACAAAACTGGGCATGTGCCGAGTGTCTCCTAGGGCTCTGTACTATCAGCGGATGGATTGAGGACAGTAAAAGGGGAGGATTAAAAAAAAAAAGATAGGATCAAACAGCCTTTTTACATAATGTGGAGGATTAACCCCTTAGGTTCCACAGTGAGTATATCAAGCATGCTTTACTGCATATACAGACTGATTTTACTGTTGTGGGTTTAGTAACACCAAGTACTTATTGCTTTCTGCCTGTAACCCCATTCACCATCTCTTTGTCCTGATGACCAAAAGGAAAGCAAGAAGAAATTCAAAAATTTTACAGTTCTCCCCCGAAGAGATACGGGGAAATCTTCCAATGAGGACACTTGTACTGAGGACAACTAGCAGTCAGAGTAATTTCATTCCCTTTGGAAGATTTCCTCTAACTTCTTGTTGGGTCTCTGAAACAGGAAGTGAGGGGAAATTACCCCAATTGTACACTACATGCAAAAAATTAACTGGGAGGGGTTTTAAGCCTTTCGTAAGGTTTTGGATATATACATACAGTTTAATATAGTTTCCCAGACACAGTAAAATACATTTTTTTTAAAAAAAAAAAAAAAAAAACATCTTCTGACCACTGTTATAATTACAAACTGCCCCAATACCAATTTCTTTGCCCCATATGACCTGTGTTCACCCACATTTGTCCAGAAGAGAACTGTAATGACTCGACTTATTGCTGACCCCAGGGAGAGGAAAAATGTCTCAGCATCAACCTGTAGACCAATTCCACGGCAGTGAAGTCTTGCAAAATGAGACTTTACTGACTTCACTACAATTCTGTGTAATCAAAGTTAGTCATAGACATGAGATATACAGAAAATAGAACACAGAGAACACCAGACCAGTCATAAATCAGAAAGTCTGTTTACGGATTATGAATAAAGGATTTTTAAACTGACTTTTTATCACCTGCTGCAAACTAGAAAGGGGCCTTTTGATTTGAGGCTTTTCTCACCAAAGTCTGTGAAAAAATGGCCTTCTAGAGCATTCGGAATGTAGTGCCACAGAACCCACACCTGCTATAGACATAAGAGTGCAGCTGAAATGCTTTATTACAATAGATTTTACATAAGTGATCATGAACATTTTCATCCATTGCCACAAATTAGGACAGATGAAGCTGGGCACATCAGAAGACAACCTCATGTCCATAAGCAGATGTGTTAGATACAATGGCAGACTGCTGTGTCAGCTACGAGCCTCGAGTGCCGGTGTGGGACCACAGAAGAGGCAGTTCTGGGCTATCTGTGCAATACCATTTCAATAGACCTTTTTTTATTTCAAGAAAAAAATATAGTCTTTATAATCACGTTAATGTAAAGCTAGCAAAGCAGTTATTTCTGAAAGACTGATAGCTATGAGAGAGCAATAGGATTTGTTTGCAGAAAAATCTGAAAAAATGGTTTCAAGTCCTGGCTATATTACCATAGTATACTAAAATCCATGAAAGCATTTAAGGATAAGGGCTCATTCTCATGTTCTTTGATCACTGATGAGAAAATCCACATTTAGGATCACTCTTTAGAGAGCATTAGGTGGTGAGGAAGCATTGTATCGCCTACTCAACACCTCCTTTAACCCCTTAGCGCTGCGTTAGCATGCAGGAACCCTGTGCATTGCATGTGTTACCAGGTGCTTGCAGAATAGCCTGTTCACTTGAATGGGTAGTGCTTTGGGGACACTATACCCACTGAAAGTGCCAGGTGGTACATCTCCTGCAGCTTATGCATGCATACTAAACCCGTGACTCCTGGTTCACATATCCGCATTCCTGCGGTCCGCGTTTTGCGTGGGTACGTGAGCCCATTCCCATGGGACACACAGGGAAGAAGTCCCTGCAATTCTTCTGAAAATGCAACCCGTACGGGAACCTTGGTTCCCAGTATGGTTGCGATTTCCAGTGCAGGCAGCGTGCCATTAGAATTAATGGCGCGGGTCCGCATTCCTCTGTGCAGGTGGTGCAGCTGCACAGATTTTTGTGAGGATCCGCAGCGGCACCACCTGCGCATATGTAAGCCTAGCCTAAGACAGGACAATTTGTTGCAGGCTAGCAAGTGAGAGCATTTTTTTTATTTTATTTTACATGCAACACCCTTCTATGTGCTCCTTTCTGCAAAGGCCAGTTATAGGTTGGGGCAGTTGCCATTTGTTTGTACCGTAGGTAATTTGGTGAGGGGCTGCACTGGACATATTTATGCTATATGCTGGGTGTCCAGTGCGCCCCTGTACCATTAAGGAGGGATGAGCTCCCTCAGGCATACCTGCCCTCAATCTATCAATTATTATATATGTGCTCCTACTATGGAGGCTCTCAAAATAGAGAGAAGACTGCAGATATTACTGGGGAGCTGTGAAGTGGCCTCTGCAGCTTAAGCATGTATTTGCAAATGTGTGCAAACTAAACCCATTTTTAACGCAAACTGTTAGGATAATTTGGTTTGTTGCAGGTGGGCTGGTAAGCGAGTTGGGAATTTTCCTTTGCTGTTTGACAACTCCTGCCATTGCCATGAAGCAATCCAACGCAGCTGCAGCATGTTTACACCCCCGTTTGCTGGTCTGCAGCTTAAGGTGGAGCAGTTGAGGTAGTGCAAATCCCCGCCATTAAGCCACGATTTTCTGCCCTTAACAGCTCGTGTGAGCAAGGCCTAAGGTTTCCAGAATCTATCCCAGGTTTTTTTGTTTTTGTTTTGTGTTTTTTTTTTGCGGTTGCCATACTAAAATATTAAAAAAAAACAAAACCAAAAAAAAAAAAAAAACATCCCACTGACAGTTCCTTTATATGATGGAAATAGATGTATGGCACTCACCATTTAGTAACGCTGACTGGAGCTCAAACTAGTACATATTGAAGAGATTGCCCCTGGGGATCCCTGAAACTGTAGCAACGAGTCTCCGTGCCCCTAGTAAGCAAGTAGCCAAATTCAGCAGTCCAAGAAACAGTTTTGTCTTTCTGTGATGGGCAGGTACACAGTGCACATGCACCTTGTGTTTTATAATCCCTCGTATAGCATAATCCCTCCAATTTTCTATAGCAGAGCTCAGTTTCAAAAAGACAGGCTTACTTGGTGGAGTTATGAGATAAATCAGAACCTGTAGCATCCATGTAAAACAGACAATACAGCCACAATAAAAATAGATGCAAACACAACTGAATGAACATTTAGTTTGGTTAGCAATATGTATCACAAGCCGTTGCCTTTTTGTTTACCAAAAATACTTGTTTTGAACCTTTAGCCTCTTGCACACTGCAGCACTTTTTTTGGTTTTGATCTAAAAAAAATACACACGCACAAATCTGTCAGTATTTTGTGCCGATATGCGCAAATACACCAATATGAGCATAAAGGTTAATGGATTTTGCATAGGAATGCATTGTACGCGTGTATAATACACGTAAAGCAAACGGCTGAAATTACATCCACAAATGCTGATGCCCAAACATCAATACCATGTGCAAGAGGCCTTACTTTGTTGCATTTCAGTGGTACTAATCTCCTGCAGCTTCTTTACAGCTTTCCTGGCTACATTTCTTAACAGTGATGACATTGTTCTATGCCTATGTAATGTATGTAGAAATGGCCACTTGTAGTCTCCACTGGAAACCCATACCCATGTGACAATGCTGGAGCACATGTAGAAGACAAGCAAAGCATTATAATCTGATAACAGAAAGTGCCTTAACAAAACCCTTCATGTCAGGTTCAGCAGATTATAATGAAAGCTCAAGATTTAAAAAAAAATTGAAAATTACTTATAACATCATATAAACTATTATTCCTGCGCCAACAGATTCCCACAGGTGCTATACTGCTGCTGCAGTGGCAATATTACAATGTAAGTTTTTTTCTCCCTGGTTGAACGGTGGAGCCTATTTGTATCGTTGAAGATCCCCCTAGAGCAGTGATGGCGAACCTATGGCACGCGTGCCAGAGCTGGCACGCAGAGCCATCTCAGTGGGCACGCCAGGAAGAAGAGGATGATGAGCGCGCATGGACCGGCCATCCAGATCTCGTCCACACTGGACCCCCATCAAACTACATTTCCCACATGTCTCTGGGGCCAGGGTGGGCGTGGACGAGAGGAAACGGCTCCAATGCGGCTCTGGCACCAGGGGTGATGTACCCGGGGATGGGCGCGGAAGAGAGGAAGAGGCTCCCACACTGCTCCGGGGCCAGGGGCAACGTGTTCAGCATGAATGGGAATGAGCTGCTGGGTTGGAAGCCACACCGACGCTGCCAGAGGTGAGATTAATTGCTTGCAGTGTCATCCATCAGTGCCCAGCAGTGTCGCCTGTCAGTGCTGCCCAGCAGTGCCACCTGTCAGTGCTGCCCAGCAGTGCCGCCCGTCAGCGCCGCCCAGCAGTGCCGCCCGTCAGCGCCGCCCAGCAGTGCCGCCCGTCAGCAGCCGCCCCAGCAGTGCCCAGCCCGTCAGCGCCGCCCAGCAGTGCCGCCCGTCAGCGCCGCCCAGCAGTGCCGCCCGTCAGCGCCGCCCAGCAGTGCCGCCCGTCAGCGCCGCCCAGCAGTGCCGCCCGTCAGCGCTGCCGCCCAGCAGTGCCGCCCGTTCAGCGCCGCCCAGCAGTGCCGCCCGCCCATCAATGATGCCCATCAGTGCCGCCCATCAATGATGCCCAGCAGTGCCACCGATCAGTGCCGTCTGTCAGTGCATCCAGGTAGGCAAGTGGTTAATTGCAGTGTTGGCACTTTGAAATAAAAAAGTTAGTTTGTGTTGCAGTTTTGGGCACTCGGGCTCAAAAAGGTTCGCCATCACTGCCCTAGAGTGATCAGCAAAGAGGGTATTAGGATCCCTTAAAGTCCTAAAAAGTGTCCCATTCACATAAATCTGGTGAGTGTATTTGATGTTGGTCTCACGGGTGGAAGGTGAAAGTTTCTTTTGGTGTATTTGAAGATTCTTTGGGAAAGAAGAAAGTCACTTGATTAATGTTTCTTCACTTGATATATTTTTTTCACTTGATTTTTTCACTGGATATATTTTTTCACTTGATATATATATATTTTTTTCACTTGATATATATATGTATATTTCACGGACAAAAAAATAATTTTTTCTGTTTTGTGGACTTTCAGTTTTGTTAATTTTATTAATATTTTATTAATTTTTATTATGATGCACTTGATTTATTGATTAATGGTGTGTAGAGGTCTATGTTTGCGCTGGTTTATTTATTATTTACTTATAACATCACATTACAATATTAAATTTATATGAGATTTTAGCTACTGGATTTAGATATATTCTCACAGCTCAGTGATGTGATATTGTCTAGTTTTTATTCCAGATTTTTACATCACAATAGGAAACCAGCTAGTATGTACTTCCTGAACCAACAAAAAATTGTTTTCACCACATTATATTAAAGTGGTTGTAAAGGAAGAAGGGTTTTTTTTCCCCCTTGTTAGGAGTTATAACAAATCCCATACAAATATTTTCATTTTGTATAAAGTCTAAATATAGACCATAAATCCATACATTTACATTGAATTCATAGCCTACACACTTCAGCAAAGCTTCAATGTAATTTGGTGATTGTTAAGATTTGTTATTTTGTTTTCAGATCAAATATTACTTCTTTTTAGCCTATGGACATGAAAACAGCTCTTTCTGAATGTACGGAGTAAGCGGAAAATCACCGCAAAAACATGGTACCTGAAGTGTCTAGACTGATTTTAATGTATGAATTTATGGTCTATGGTGTGTGTGATATTGAGATATAGATATATATATATATATTTATATAATACACACACTCACACATACATATATACACACACACACACACACACACACATACATACATACATATATGGGCAAGACCTTTGGAGACATGCTACATCTGTTGAGGTGGAACATGCAACATGTTCCCAATGCTGCAGCCGCAAGCCGCTGACAAACAGTGTTCTGTGAATGAAAGAACTACAAGTCTCAACAGCCTTAGCGGCCGTTGCCTTGTACTTCTCACTGAACTACTACGGCGCTGTGAAGCACCATGATAGTTCATGAATTCTTCCTGTTAGTATATCTACTTTCCCATACATCTCGTACGGGCAAGCAGATATACTGAGAGGTCTGTAGGTGACCTTCATGGCGTCAGCGATCTGCTGATCGCTGATGCAATGCTTTACAGGCTCCTGCAACAAAAAATAAATGCACATTTTTTTACCTGCAAAAAAATGTGCATTTATTATTTTTAGTCAAAAGGTGAACTTATCCTTTAAAGTCCCAATCACCCCTTTGGGGAATTTTAGTTGTTTTGCTTTAATGACATAAGCACTGGCTAAGGCCCATTGCACAGAGCAGGTAAGTATACCATGTTTGCTACTTAAATATATCTTTACAGTCACTTTACTGGACACCACAACTTGCATAGAACAGAATATGGTAAGCTCCTTTACCAGAATGGAAGCCTAAAAAGGTTTCATCTAATCAGATCAGCTCAACTAACAGAATAGGAGGAGCAGCAACACATTGGGACAAAAATGGAAATCCCTGCATGCAGGGATGGTAGATAGAGCCATGAAAACTCCATAGACACAAGTCCATTTTTACAGACCACACATGGCGTAACATTATGTGGTTGTCTCAGACAAAATAATCCTTAGTGAAGTTTTTCTACTAATCTTGGGTGGATTCCAGTCTTCTGTAATCATAACTATGAATGCGCATATAAAAAGTAACTTCTCGCAAGTCAGCCTTTGGGCAAAGAAAACCCCGCAGACCACATTTTATCCTTTACAAGGTATGGCAGGTAAGAAGGACATTTTAGAAATTATGTTTTTTCCCCCCAGTATAATGCATTTTTACACATAGAAAGTAGTAAAGTACCCTACTATAATATGGAAAAATAAAAGATTTATATAACCATCAAACCTCTTCTTTACCAAATAATGGGCAGTTTAAGTTTACACTGGTAAAGCTACACTAGAGGTCTGCATACCAGTATGATCTGTGCCTTTTCATTAATCGGGGTACGATGGGTTGCTCTCAAGACACTTGCTTCAAGGAGGAACAACTTCTTTCATTCTAACATAGTATAATTATAGCCTGTAAACCCAAACTGCTGGAGAATGATCTCAGCTGGATCATTAGCCCTGGATAAAGAACCAGGTAGTTGCTCTACGGTTGTGCCAAACTGAGAGATCCCATTTGCATCAGTCAGTGTGTTAAGGTTTGTAGAGGAGTCAAAATTCAGACCGACAATGTAGTGTATCTTAAGTTGAAGCCATTTTTAGTAACTCTCCATGGTTCTTCATAACTTCATCAAATCAAAGAGAATGCTTTGCAGTCAAGGACAAAAAAAAAGCAGTGTTTCCTGAATGGAGCCTGTTCAGAACAAGCAACCTCCTGCAGTTCGTGGATATCACTGTTGTAGCAGTGCCTACTATAAGGATTTCCAGCTTCCACAGGTATAGGACATGCATACTTACATTTACATTTCTATACTTACATGCTGGACTTATGTAAGCATTGCCATGCCTCAACATCAGTTTTTAACCCGTTCCTACCTGCCCCTCTGGTTTCCCTGGATGTACACAGCACCATTTTTAAATAAGGAAAGCATGTGATCACACCGATCTTGGTGTGATCAGATGCTTTTAAAGTGCAGAGGAGAGATATGGTGTCTAATAGACCCCAGATCTCCCCACAAAGAGGACCTGTCACTGCCTATTGCTATCATAGGAAATATTTACATCTCCTGTGATAACAATTAAGGGGTCAAATTTAAAGCGACAGTGTAAAAATAAAAAAAATGTAAGCACCCCCATCTCCCTATGCTCACGCGCAAAGTCGAATGCACGAGTCAGTCCCACATGCATGCAAACAGCAACAACATGCCCTCCCCCTCCCTCTTTTTGTTTTACTTCCTTGGGTTGTTTTGAACCTTTTGTTGTTTTATGTATATTCTGTTGGGCTGTGATCCTGCCCCTGCGTGGGTGTCTGTATTATGTATGTTCCATAGGTTTAAAATAAAAAAAAAAAAAAAAAACAAAAACACAGCAACATGTGAGTTATCACCGCGAATGTCAGACTGAGGGTAGTTACTCTAGCACCAGACCTCCTGTGTAAATCTAAAGTAATGAAAAAAAAAAAACATTGCACAAATACCCTGTGACATAAAAAAAAACTGAAAAATCCACCAATTTATTCCCCAGGGCCTCTGCTTTAAAAAAAAATATGTAATGTTTCGGGATTGTAAGAAATTTTCTAGCAAAAAAAAAAACAGATTTTTACATGTAAACAGAAAGTTTAAAAAAAAAAGACCTGATCTTTGTGGGTAAACAGGCCAGAAGGAATGGTAAGAATGTGAGCACTGTCACAGTGGTCACACAATCAGACGTCGGTCCCACCCCTTACTGATCTTTATTCTGGACAGAGACACCTTTGACAGCTCAGTCTTTGTGCTGAGTACGCAGTGAGTGCACTCTCAGCACATAAACTTCAGCTGCCCAGCAACACATACATGCACATCCTTTTGCCACTGCACATGTGTTGGGGGGTGTGTTGTAAAGGGGTTAAAAGATGTATCGCAGTACCCAATCCAACTAGCAAGATGAAGAATTTTTCCAACACAGAATTTTTATTTTATCATAGTTTAAAAAAAAAAAAAAAAAAAAAAAAACACAACACACAACATTCTCATTTATGCTTAGTGAGGGAACCTGGCTGGTTCCAAAAATCATGTTTGTAGTACAGTAACCTTTAAATCGCTAAATCAGTTGAAATACAATGTTATTGGCTAAGGTATTTGTAAATATGTGCACTCAATGTTGTGATTTTCAAACATATGCCATACTGCACAGCTAGGAAGATGTGTTTTTGTATGTGTTTGTTTTTGACACTTATATATAAATTGTAATATCTGTACTAATATTACTTATAGGTTGGGTATTTTACAGATTGTTTTTTGTGTGTTTTGCGCTGTTTTGAGTTGAAAAAAAAACAGCTAGGAAGATGACTACCGATTCCTGGTCTGGTTTCACTGCTCCGAGGGTCAACTTTCTTTTCACTGGACAGAGGTTAACATGTGATTTTATAGTCCAATAAGCAGACTAGGGGTGGAGCAGTGACACAGGAAGCAGCAAACAAAGAAATGGGAGTGTCACCTGCCTGGACTTCCACTTTGTTGACTCTAGCATGCCCTCTGCTGCATTTCCAGAATTTCAATGTTTTAACGTGACTAAACCAAATGAAAAAACATCCTAAAAGCAGTTTAACATTTAACACCAGAGACAAGAGGTTTTAGGTTTTTACATGGGAAACATTGACCAAAACAAGGATTGATTTACCCACAGACACATGACTAGAAACCACAGCAGTGTATACAGTATGTCACAGAATATCATAATGTGAAAACCTTTGGAAAGTAATGACCTGGTTTTGTGATAGTGAAGTCATATATACTTGTGACAGGGGCTGTGCCATGACATGTGCTGGAGAGGAGGCCGGCAGGAAACCACAGACTGAGCTATAGTGGTGAGAGCA